AATCGTAGCATTTTAAACCTGTAATCAGATTCATTAATCATAAATACGACGACAACGACGACGACTACAATAATTTTATTATTATTGCTGGTAAATCCTCTCGAATTATTATGTTTCCTTTTGCATTGTTAACCCTTAACCGCACAGGCTAAAACAGTAACGTAAGCGCACAGGTGGGGTCTTTTTGGACCCATGAGAAATTTCATACAAAACTTATGCAAAATGGTATCCAATGAGTAAAATATGTCATTTTATAGTTAAAACATAGCTTATTCCTTACTTTCCAATACAGCATCACAATTCAATATTGATTTTTATGGAAAAAAAAATCAATTATAGCCAAAATTCTTGGTAGTTATTGATATGTACGACTTTCAGACAGTCGTGTCTTTCACTAATATCGCTAATCGACAGTCGTTGGCCAGTTAATGTGCTTCGTGTACTGCGCCGAACTACCTCTCGATATGTGAGATCAATATAGAGACTGCTTCCCGAAGGGCGATCACACTTTGAACACTGTAGCTCTCTGGCATTTATAAGTTCAACCCTATGTAAACATTTTTCCTTCCTCTTCTTCTGCATTTGCAAGAAGCATGTGTGATATATCAGCTTAACTCTGAGACACCAGGTGGCAGCACATTTGCGTGATCGAAACCAATTACATTGCTTTATATGGAGTGCGATGAGATCGCGCTGCTTCCGTTCTTCCTCCATACTTGGCAAACATGTTGTTAGACGTTCGCAACAAGGCAACTCCTGCCACACCAGCAACGTTCACCAAATTCACGAAATATGCCCATACATTGTGTTTTGGATAGGATAGATCCGTAAGATCTCCGCAAGAGCTGGATCTAAGCGTGCGTAGGCCGCCGCATGATACATACTTTGATTGGCACGCCTGCTTTGATTTGCGCGTCGAAGCAACACAGAAAAACGAACGGATATATCATGCGGCGGCGTATGCACGCTTAGATCTTACGGATCTATCCTATCAAAAAAAAAACAATGTATGAATATATATTATAATGGCAAATGCCATTTGATTTGCGATGAACAGTATACGTCACGGACGAAACAATTTACTGTGTTGTTGTTTGATGAAATGTAAATTGTTGTGTCAACAAATCTCCATGAGTTTCATATTGGCCCATACAGAATACATCATTTCCCATACAAAATAATTTGGGGTCCAAAAGACCCCGTTGTGCTTCTACGTTAGTATTTTGTATAAGACTTCCCAAAACTTCATCTATGCACCAAACATTGAAATTTTTGATTTTATCACATAGATATGATATTAAAAAAGAAAACGCTCAGCGAAATTTTCCAATTTTTTTTTATATTTTTGTGATTTTTTCAAAAAACTAACTCTTAGGGCCTAAGAGACCCCACGTGTGCGTTTGAGGGTTAATGTTTTTGATTATGCAAATTCCCTTTGATTCCTTTATTGTTTCATTATGTATGTGGCACGCTAGTGTGTGTGTGTGTGTTTTGCCCGGGACGTACACTGTGACATTCTATATTTGTAGACACACGAAAAAAGTTTATTTTTGAAAAAAATTCTCAAAAGATGGCGCGCTCGACAACGTTCAAAAACGTTCAAGTGTCAAACATCACTTATGTCATGTGTGGCATTGTTTAACGCGCCATAAGTCAAATTCTACAATGGTTACTATATTTATCATTTGTAGAATTACTATGAATTTTACTTTTCCGCACACACCTAGTGTGTAAGGTAAAGTATTGGAATCGGTCGAAAAATTAACACCCATAAAAAATGTGTTTTCTGGGTGTTTTTGGGGCCAGGGAACACGAATCTAGCGTTTTTTCGATGTCCGAATGTATGTGCGTACCCTGTACCCTGTATCCTGTACCCTGTACGCTGTACCCTGTACGCAAAAATTTGTTAACACGATAACTTTCAAACAAGAAAAGTAATTCAAAATCTGACTTCACAGGATGATTGGGGGTGCCGAGGAATAGAAACCATTAGATTTTGAGCGACTTTGGTTGACAGGGTAAAGTGTCATGTCTGGTGTGATGCCCATGTCCATCCATGGGAAAAATTCAAATTTTCTTCCAAAAGTGATATTTAATGTATTCTTAAACACTCAAAAATGTGTATTGGGGGGTTTTTGGGTACGAGAAAACCGAATATGACGTTAGTTTTGCGATACAATCAACTTTCGAAACACTTTTCATACAAAAAATTCAAAAAATTTGGATTTTTGTATGGAAGCCATGCCTGTATGATATCGTAATGAGCTGAAACTTTGCACAGGTTATTTTTATCACACATAAATACCATTCCGAGAGTTTGAAAACATTTCAACGAATATTAGGGGCACCTCCCGAACAATATTTTGGATTTTTCGCTCTAAAACGAAATTTTGTATGGGAAGTACCCTTAATATGCATTGAAATTTCTTCAAACTTTCAGAATGTTAACTTTTTGTGAAAAAAATAACCTCTGCAAATTTTCACATGATTACGATATCGTATAGGCATGGCTCCGATACAAAAACTCCCATCTTTAGTAGTTTTTGTAAGAAAAGTGCTTCGAAAATTATTTTTATCTAAAACTAATGTCAGATTTAGTTTTCTTTCATGTCGTGGATCACAGTGCGGAAAAGTTCATCTTACGGATGTAAGACATTTTATTTTTCATTCATCTAATGCACCTTTCGAATTTATTTCCATCGAAAAAGGAATTTGGAACGTTTTCGAGGCATATGTCTCTTTCTCCAAAATCACCTTATATGCAAAAAAGTTTGCAAGAATAGGTAAAGAAGCTGCCACACAATACACAGTCCACTATACCCACCTGAAATAAAAAAAAATCAAAAAGAAGCGAAAAAGAAAGTGAACAAAATTGAATGTGAAAGAAACAGAAAATCCATGATGAAATGCATTACGTCGCAAAAGATAAGATTTTTTTTAAAAATATTTTACGCCAATGTTTTTTTTATCTCGTGTCTTACGAATTTTTCATCGCAATAAATTAAGAGCGGTGGGAGGTGAAGGGAGTTAAAAACAGAGGCAAACGAAACGAAATAAACGCAAAGAAATGCTGATTTTTTTTCATATGAAAATAACTCTATTTTGCATCAGGAGCGCGCAAAGGGAACAAAAAAAAATAAATAAAACAAGCAACCGTTGTGTGGTTGAAAGCGCGTTTGTGTGAGCATAAAACGGTGAAAATCGAAATTATACACCGTCATTATATGCATTTTGGTGTATATCGCTCGGTTGTAGTTCGGGCACTTGAGAATGCATGCTTTAAATGAGTTGTGGCAATAATGCATACAGAAGAGAAAAAAACTATAAACACTCAAGCAAAACAACAACTATACAATGTAATAGTAACAACAATGGAGCGATGGGTAAAGAATCTCAGGGATTTGGAAAAGTTTGAGAGGATTCCATGCACGAGCATTTTTAAAACAGGTAAAGTCAAAATCAAGCAAAGAAGAGCTGAACAAAAATGGCAATAGAAACGGCAGTGATGGAGAAGAAGAAGAAAAAAATGTGAAGCGAAACCGAAGAATATGTTTCATTATTTTGTGGATTTATCGCATCGCCCAAAAAGTAGCAAACCCACAAATCAACGAATGCAACGACTTGCACTTGTGTACATCGTACTCACACCCAATGAACACACATTGCAACGGTCTATATATTCAACCACACACATACACATACATGTGCTGTTTGCAGCGCTGCACAACCATTGAACGCATGCCACACGTAAAGCACAAACAACGACACGAAATGCTTGCATCCTCAAGTTTGAAAAATTTATGGCAAATAACAAATTGCATTTGATCATGCAATTTGCAGGAACGCCAAATGTTTATTTTTCCCCTTTGCTTCATTTCCGTTTCGGCCGTTTTCAAAAGCAGCGACAGAAAAAAAAAACGAAACACGACATGAATTCCATCGTTATCTCGTTTATGTTGATTCCTTTTCTCTTTCGGCAGCGGTGCCCGGCTGTGTGTTCATTGTTTTGTTTTCAGGCTGAATTTTACTTTCGCCGAATAAACACATTCAAATTACCAAAGTTAATTTCTCGTTTTTGATGGTCGAGACTGACGTTATCTGAGAGGCACGTCGGCAACTTCACCTCATACTCGCCGAGAAATTTTTGTGGCTCTTTCATGCTTCCCGCTTACAGTTTTTCAACATAAATGCATTCTCGAACTGGAAGAAAATGCACCAGGTACGAGCAGATAATACGAAAACAATAAATTTTCATAGAATGCGGTTTTTTCGTCGTCAAACTTCAAAAACCCGGATAGGTTTTTTTATATTAAATTGGCTTCGGAGTTGGTTTAGCTTTTTGAATTTTTTTCGCTCTCTTTTGTCACTGTTTTATTGAATTACCATAAACCTAAATCTTAATTTGTGGATTAATATTTTTTGGGATTTTCATTTTGGAAATGCCATAAAATAGACAAAAAAGAACACTTTCAAATGAAAATCCCATAAAATAGAATAGATTTTGTGTGTGTCTTCTGTCTTATTTTCAAGAGACGAAAAATTGGAAAAAGAAATGAAATAGCGGAAATAATTTATTGGCTTCGTTTAAACGAGTCAGATTTACATTTTTTTCGAGTAGTTTTACCAATTCCGATTTAGCTTCGATGAAACATCGTTAAAAAGCACATTTGCTTTATGCAACATGACTTTATCATATGGCACATTGAACATGATTTCTGTTTTCAATTTGTTTAGCGAAATAAACTGCCATCTATGGACGAGTTTCGAAATGAATCGCATGTACATAGAAAACTCACCTGTTCAACGACGAGTATATTGTTACAGTGTTCAAGTGTTTTTCTCATTTGGCGTTTCAAGTGTGTGTTTTTTTAGTTGAAAGCGTTACATTTTTTTCTTTCAAAGTTAAATGAGCGTACGCTCCTCAAATTCAAGTGTTTCGTCGTATTTTTCTTACTGCTTTAAAATTGAAATCGATCAAATAAAACGCGCATGTTTTCATCTCATTTTCATAGATATTTTTATTTTATTTTTGAATGCAAACATTGGATTCTGACCATTTAACAAGTTTTATTTTAACTATTATTTACATATACAAATTATAGGGATATATTGTTTTTTTTTTTATTTAATTATATAAAGGTACCACTTTTCTGAGAGAGCCGTAAATCTTCATTTTCTCATTACTACATATGTGAGTGCCTTAAATTGGTTCATATTACAACAAAGCAAAAAATTGGTTATTCTATATTCTTTGTTGAATAAACTCCAGTCAATTGCGATTCATTCATTTTCACTTCACTTTCTCTCTCTCTTGCTCTCATACATACATCCTTTGTCTACATGTCAAAAGGGTTTAAATGATCTGTGATATACCATTTTACTAGTAAAAACTACAAAATCAGATCAAAATCTGGAGTTGAGCACTTATTTATATCCTAATATCTAACATTTGTTCATGTCATTATTTTTGTCGTGAAATTTTCAATCAAAAAGAAACGAAAATTACAAATTGTAAATTTTCAATCTTGAAAATGAAAAGCTACAATACAATAAAAAAAAGTGTGCCCAAATCAATGGACAAAATGAGCGATTGGAGCCGGACAAGAGTATAGAGTATACATATACATATTTTGATGAATGAACACAAACGACTACATACGCACAGATTAGAAGTTAAATCAATTCATCTGTTTTTTTTAAATATTTTCTTTGTATCTTTACATCATCATTTTCTTGTGTTTGCTGATTTACAATATAGTATCACAAATATTGAGATAGTACATTTAAAATGACAAAACAATCAAAAAATGTCCTAGCATTTTAAAATTGATGTGTCTAAATCTAAATCAATTCATGATCGCTTTTATAATAATAATATAGTCGAGAGGAGTACACTTTGGATTACGATTGGATTCTTTTTTTGCTGTTGTTGTTTGTTTTCATTTCATTCGTTTTTGTTAATTAAGTCTCTTAAGTGTTAAGAAGAATTCAGAATATAATGGAAGTGTTTACGATTAACTTTGTTAGATTATAATATTCAATTAAAATTGGTATAGCTTGAGACAGACTTTCCTTTAAGCTAATCACGATGAATTATATCAAATTTAAAATAAAAACCAAAACTAAAGAGTAATGCAAATGAACGCAACTGATAATAAATGAGTTCGAAATCAGTAAGAATATGATCGTAAATATGGTCCGAATTTCGTGTGTTTTTTTTTTTGTTTGGCAGTACGCACAATTTTCACGCCAATTTTCTTTTATACATGTCAATGAAGAGAATATCTGTAAATATATAAAATAATGTTTTGATTGGATGACATTGATTTTGATTCGGTATTTGAAATAGGCGAAAAAAGAAATGTTTTTGTTGTTATGTTTGACAAAGGAAAACAAATTCTAATCAGACAGACGCATATTGCCTAAATAGCGAACGACTTTGACTAGGTTTAAATGACATTGATTGTGTCAAATGCCTTCACTTCTTTTGCCAATTATTGTTGTTGGTGTTGTTATTTGTTTGTTTTAATGCGAGTGTGATGAGAGTTTGAGTGATTTAGTTAAAGCGATTACAACATCCACATATACGAATATATTAAAATGTGTCTTGTTTCATGTTTCTCATTTTTTTGGCAAACTTTTACATGTTACGATTACAATTAGTTTAGAAATTAATTTCACTTGTTTAATTTTCGTGTCGTTTTGCTCCACTCCATCTAATATCTTAGATATTATATCTAACAACATCAACCGAAGGGAAAAAAAGCGGTCAGAAGTTTTACGAACTAAGCGCGCAAAACTTTTGAATTTTTGTTGTTTTTTTTTTTGCATTTTATGTTATATAAGCCACATGGAATAAGGAGAATGATACGTTAAAATGTCGAATGAAGCTGAAGGATGATGTGAGTGTATGTGTTGGAAATTAAATTGAACTTTTACATTGAATGCCATCCAATCAGGAGCATCAAACTATGTAATACGATTATTTTATTATTATGATGATAATGATGATGTTCGGTTGAATTGGATGCGATGCAACGATGGGGATATTTCAGTTTCCGTTGGAAATTTGAACTAAAGTGACATTTAAATGATAATGGTTGTTCATTGGTGTTCGCATTGCCCGACCATCATTTCGTGTATCCCATCACCCTGCTGCCATAATACTGTTTATTATTGTTATTGGAATTGGGGGTTTGGTCGACGAGTGTGTGTGTGCATGTTTTCGAATTGGTTGCTATTGTGAGAGTATTGCTGCTGCTGTGTTAGACGATTATGTTCAATCATGTCAAGCTCGTCCAAACATAGATGCCACGTCTCCCGTTGACTGTGAATGCATCATGCCACTCGAATCATTATTGGCAAACTTTAAATTACTGGCGGTTGATAGTTTTCTAGCTGCATACAAACGATGCAATGAGTATGGCTGTTGAATATCATGCTGTGAACTGCTTACATTTGCTTGTGCCACCGCATTTGCTACACTGTCAATGTCGGTAGTTGAAGCTGTTAAACCTTTAATTTTGCAATGAACAAACGGATGATTTTTTCCAATGAGTAAACAAAATGATGATAGATTTTTTTTTGTAATGAATTCAGATTATTATTTTGTGTTCTCTTGTCTCTATGCATTTCACACATTTCTTTATCTAAATACAAATAAATGAAATTACAATGTTAGTTTTTTTTTATCAACTAAACACTCGATTGAGGACACTTTAACGGATTTTAACCTTTTAGATTTTTGTTTAATTGTTACAGTGTGATGCCATAAAATTGACTGAACCGCGTGTTTGTGACCATTATGATTGTAAATATTAGATAAAGAATTGTGTGAATGTGTATATTTTCGACTTGAGATCGTTTGATTGTATCGATTTTTTTTAATGTATTAGATTGCGTTACATTGAAATTCAGAGTCAATGATTGAAGCGTGTGATGCGGGGATGCGCATGTGAAATAATGAAATAAATGTTAAAGTTATAAACGGAATTGAAGTGATTAATTGCTATTTCATTAGTTCACGTGTTACAAATTCAAACACTATCATATTTGCGTCGATTTGAAACGAAACAAAGTAATAACCAGTTCGGCTGGCCGCTTGATGCATGCGCGCTCGCACATTTCGTATGTTGTTCATTGATTCGAATTGTGTTGGTTTTGTTGTTTATTTTTTTCATTTTTCTTTTTTTTTTAAATTGTATTGTTGAGCACAACATTAAATCATCCTTTAATTACCTTTGGTTCGGTCCTTATACAATTTATAATTTGATTTCACTTCGGGCAAAATGATTTGTTGTGTTTGATGTAGTTGTCTTGAGGTGACAATCGATGGCGGTGTAAAGTACTTTTGCGTTTTCAATGAGACTGGCAATGACTGTATTTGTGACGATTGTTGATGTGACTGTTGCGAACCATTATCGTTGCACTCTTTATATAGTTTCGATTCTTTGTCTACTTTATTATGATTGTAAGACGAATTTGTGCTTGGCTGGAGCCATTCGTGGTAGACAGCTTCTTCTGGTGTCATTCGTTTTTTGGGATCCCATCTAAAAATTGCACACGAAAGAAAAGAAAATGTAATATTTGAAAATTGATTTTTCGTTAGCATTGAATTGGGTTCGGTGTCAAGAAATTGCACATTGCATTCACACTTACTCTAAACATTTGCTGACAAAATCAACGAACAACGGATCATTGCAACGTAATACTTGTGCCAATGGCTTAGTGCCTGGTTTTCGTTTACGATTTTTAGAATTTGTAATACAACGTGGATTACCGCGTGAATCGAAAAATAGACGACGTCGACTTGCTTGGCTTAATACATCCTCCGGCGGTACATTCAACACTTCCATTATGCAAGCCAGCTGCTCAACTTCATTTTCGCCCGGAAAGATTGGATAGCCCGTATAAAGCTCAGCTAAAATACAACCTACACCACGAAGACGACAACGACGACAATGAAATATAAATGCAAGAATGAGAAAATAGAAATCAGGTCATTTGTGAAAATGATTTTAAGTGTGCGACAACACTGTAATGGATTTTGAAATAAAAAAAATATATATGCCATACCTAAGCTCCACATGTCAATCGGTGTGCCATACGACAAACCCAAAATAACTTCGGGCGATCGATAAAATCTCGATTGGATGTACGTATACACTTTTCGATGCGAATAACATGAACTGCCGAAGTCAATTACCTTAATCGAACTACTGCCGCGCTGTTTGAGCAGAACATTCTCCTGTTGTGTGCCAAAATAAAAAAATAAAAAAGAGTGAGCAATCAATGGAACAATCAAATCAAAAGTGTATATTCAATTTGTAATGCTCGATGCGGGAAAGGAAAAGAAAATTTTTCATACATACCGGCTTTAAATCACAATGAATTATGTTCTCTTGATAGAGCAAACGTAGGCATTTGATAATTGAATTGCAAAAACGTCTGATTAGACTCAAACTAAAACCCTGGTAGTTGTTCTTTTTTATTAACTCATACAGATTGTAGCTGAAATGAAACAAATGAAGAAAATTTAAAAAAAAGAATGAAAATTCAATCGATTCTAGTTCTATTTTCCCATGCTAGTAAAACGAATTTCCCATGCTATGTTAGTTTTGACTTTGATTTTGATTCGTATGTAATTGCAGCTGACGGTGTTTAATTGCTTGAACCTCAAAACTGTGCGCTTGATTAATTACAAATTGAACGTGAATTAAATATGGTGCACTCTTTGTAACAGTTTTCAGGCCCTCAACACAATGGAAAGATTATTTTTCAACTTTAAACAATATCGATGTTTGGCAGACATGCACCTGTAGCGCATGTTATTATTGCATGTCAAAATGTTCAATGCGGCTTGTGTTTCTCTCTCTCTCTCTATTCATTTGTACAATGTAAAACCACCATGATTAGTTCCAAAGTACCGCTTAAGGCTTTTTGAAAAAATGAAAGAACATATTTGGATTCAATCATTCAAAATTCATGTAGAAAACCGCAAACAATTTGACAGAAGGACACAACGAACAGGAAAATCGTGTATTGACAAGAAATAATAATCAATTCTCATCGTACATTATTACTGAAAATGGTCATACAATCGATTGAAATTCGTTCGAAATCGACGTATATGCAATTGCTTTGCCTGTGCGACCTTTTGAATAAATCTCCATCGTGATGAAATTAGCGTTGCACAAAAAGAGAATTGCACAAATAAAATTAGAAACTGGGATTATATTTTTGAATATGCGGAATAAGCGAGGGAGAGAGGTAGAAGAAATAGTTCCTCGCATATAATAATAAGTATATTTGAAAGTTAAAAACAATTGCAATAAATTTTACAAGCCCAATTTATAAAGTTTATTTTTTCCTTCGCTCCCCCGAAGGATGATCCTTCATTTTCTGTATGAAAATAGTTGCTGTGTAATAATTGTTGTGAAATTGCGCAATAATTTATTGGCAAATGATGCATACAAAGAAGAATAAAAATGTGTATGGAAAAACAAAATCGAAAGAGCAGTTATAATGGTAATTCATGCATTTTCCAAAAGAGGAACATGAAATCCGTTGCCATAAAAGTTAAACATCCGCCAATTTCCGTGCACATTTTTTTCCTGTGATGTCGATGAAATCGTAAAAAATAATACCGGAAATCAAACAATTCGGTGTTGTTTTTATAATTTTTCTTCTTCGTCGTGTGTGTGTGTACGCGCGCGGAATTTTTTTTCTGTAAAAACTTTTTCACGACTTCTAAATGAGTCGATTAAAATGTTGTGCGCTTAAAATGCATGTCGCATGTCATCATGCACACTAAAAAAATATACACTCACTTCTGTGGTTGTTTTTTGCGTCCTTCTGCACCATTTTACAACATAATTTTTGTAAGCCGTTGTTGTTATTTGTTAGATAAAAATCATGCCGTTTCCATTAAAATTAAGAAGCGCTCATGGTATGATCAAAACTGATCAAAGCGACGAGGATATTGTCGGGAGCATTGAAAATACCCATATACACATATTTTGCACATAAAACAACGTGAAATGATGCTAAAAATATTTCACAATTTCAATGGAAAACATTGAGCGCGCTCATAGACATTGATTGATACGACAAAAATAGCCCGAGACGAGCAATAGATAGACTGACAGCGCGAATGAAATCAAAGTAATTTTTCTGTTGCATGGAAACAATGTGCTTTTGAACTGTTTTTTTTTCTTTAAATCAAATTGCTTGTTGAGAATGTTTTTTGCAGTAGTCTTTCTGCAAGTAATAGTGGCGAGGAAAAAAGGCGACTTTGCATGTGAAAAAAAGTGAGTAAACTTTCCTTTCGGCAATAAACATTTCAATTTTTACCTTTGTTAGAAACAGACACAATTGGGAGGGAGTTGGAAAAGTTTTCCAATTGAAGCCGCTGAAAAGTCAAATTGATAATAACCGCATAGTTAACCTTTCGGCACTTGGGTAGAAACGATCTCACTAGTTAAGGTAAACAAAGCCAAATGAAATCAACACGAAGACGAACAACAAAATATTGGCGAGAAACCGAACATCGACGCACCAAGAGTATCATGGTGTGCTGCACTTAAAATGTATGCTCGTCATATTTATTTTATTTATGATGATAATAATTACTGAAGAAGTTTTACCATTAAACGTACTGGTTACATGTTGGTACAGAGAGCGAAAAAAGAGATACCGCCATTCAACACAAAACAATTCAACGATGGAGGTGAAACGCGTGCGCGCTTTTTTTTGGGCTTACTAATTTAATTTTATGATTTTTGTCACAACTCTGGTACCGCTATAAATTGTTGCCATCAAATTGGCAAACAAATTAACAAGAATTTTAAACAAAACTTTTCATTCGCTTCGAAATGACATACCGCAATTGCTGTTGTTCCTTTTTTTGTATATTGCTTCTTATTCTTCGTTTTTTCTACTACTATCATTTTGAGTCAGTATTTTAAATACATCAACTATATAATGGCAAATGTGTTGTGGGTATTTTGTCGATTTTTGACAAAGTTCGTAATTTGAAATAAGGAAACACAATTCAAACCGTTCGTGACATCCAATATTCGATTTGATTATGATTTTTCATTGTTGAGCTTGTCGCTGTCGTTTTCTATCTCTCTCTCTCTCTCTTATCGCCTTTCATTTTATTTTTGCTTTGTACAATTATTAAAAAGTTTATATTCGACTACGTCAATCGTAAAGCGCAACTTAAATAGTTGAATCTTTTCCTTGCTTTGCATTCTGATTATCGTTATTCTATTTTTAGAAAACACAAAAACTGTATAAAACGAACGTGTGTTAGTTCACTTACCTCATCAATTCGAAGCTGATACACAAATGATTGCGGAAATAGAAATAGTCTAACATGTGAATCACATTGTGTTCATTGTTCGGATCCTTTTTCCTCAGTTCGTCCAAAATTCGAACCTCAACCAATGCCTGATGATGGAAGCGCTTCTTATTTCGAATGATTTTAATCGCTACAGGTTTGTTTGTTTTGTAATCTAATGCTCTAACTACTTGGCCGAAACTGCCTTTGCCGATCACCTCAAGGATCTCATAACGGTACGATATGTGATCGTGAATTATCTGCGAATGTACAATGTAAAAAATAAATAAATGACATGAGTCAGATGCGGCGCATTTCAATTTGATATTGACCTTATTATAGCTGCCATTGTCATCATCATATCCTGAATTCAATGCGGTGCCCGGCTTAGCGTTTATCTTGCACGCATCTAGTCCAAGAAACCAGATTTCGGGATATTTGTCAATTTCCTGGCGTTCATAATCTGTGAGACGACTGCCATGCAAGCGCATTGCCTCTGTAAAATTTGAATAGATACGGAAAAAAATGTGCAATTAGCAAAAATACATTTGAACATCATAAATTTATATATAGTATTCGAATCTTGTTCTCGGGATGTCGCATTCGCTATTAGCATGTCTGTGCCGTATGTTAGATGTCAAGTGCACAATCGTAAAATTCAGGGAAATTGTAATTTTTGTTCGGATGAAAAAGAGGCAGTGGTGTGTACGAATCGCGGTGCTTATATCGTGCAATATGCTTTCACGCGAATTTAATTTGGATTGTGGTCCCCTATGACATAGTAATTGAAATTAGATGAACATTGAATGCGATTACCATATATCTAGCATTTGTTAAGTACATACACGAGCCAACAACACACAATTACAGACAGTTTGACTCCATTATACGTTTGTTGACTTGGTGCAATTTTAATCAGTATGTCACATCGATTGCGAGCACATTTTTTTTTGAAATGTGCAATTCGTAGATAATTACAAATATAAATCACATGGAAAAAGCAATTTAATTAAATTATACACATACGTATGCGAATAAAGGCAAAGTAAGAATGAAATAGAATAAAAACCGCAAGCGAATGAGTCAGAAGTTTGAGACTTTGGAGCATTTAGTCACATATGTCGTGATAAACTAAATCAAAATGACAAAAAAACAAAGGAATATACTTGAAAAAGCAAAAAGGCACAAACTCCATATGCACGTACAGTGAAGTCGTCGTCGATGACGATTATCGACGACGATTTTATTTATTTAGCATAAATTTCATGAAAAATTTGACATTGAATTTTTTTTTCACTCAAACAACGTACAGCAGTTGCAGCAAAAAGAAAACAACCGTTTTCTAAGTTAATTTTGCTTGTTGATAATCGGCTACACTTTTTATTTTCATTTTATTTGATTCGTTTGGAATTAATGCGCAGTCGAGAAATTGTAAACAGTCGCAACGAATCAAAAATGATAAACACAATGCTGTAAAGTAATGTCGTTTTTAATGTACTGTGCAATAAATCACAACACAAAGACATGTGTGTTTAATGGGTTTGATCAAAACTGCGTGAAGACAGTTTTGTATCAAGATATCAAAATATACGATCGCATTCCATACTAGTTTGGTATTTTTAGACTTGATTTGTCGAGTCGTGAATTTAAGCAATGTTATGCATTCTTTCGGATAACAAAAAGAAAACTGTTTATATTTGGCTATATCACCCACATGGCATCCGCGTTGATTCTAAATCGAAATCCGTAAACTTCTCAACATATTTTGTTTGGTTTCAAATGTTCCCGGCCGAAAGCATGCACCAGCCGAAATAAATTCCTCAAATAATGTTTGTTGATGTTCGTGATTGAAGAGCTACAAAAATAGCTAAAACGTTTATTCAAATTTACGATTGGTGTTTCTTTTATAAATTGCCCATCATCCATGGCACACAAAAAAAAACGTTCAAAAACATACAAAATGAACGCGATTCAAACCAACCACCAAATAGCTGCCGATATACCGATACATTTATTATTACATACCAAAATGCAATGCTAAATAAAATGAAAAGCGTTCAAGTAGTACGCATTCGTTTTTGATGAATGAACATCAAGAATGAATGAAGAGTCGTTCAATTTTCGCTTGTTACATGCATGCAATATCTAGTGTATATTTGCAATAAGCGTGGCGGCATTGAGTGTGTGTGTTGCTATCTATCATGTGCTTCAATTGATTAAACGTGTGCATTATTATTTTTTTTTTTGAACTGTTTCGATTTTTCTTTGTTTGATTTTTCGCGAGACTGAGAATAGCATGAGCGTCGGCAAATCCATTGAATGTGTGTACCTTTACAATTTTGAATTCAATAGAGCAGACAACTGGCAATGCCTTTTTACCAACCATGAAATGATCAAATAGCGGTTGGTTGTTTACAGTAAACATTAAGCATTTTGATTGTGCATAAAATGCTTGGATCAATAGTAAATTAATAAGCCGAATGATATGATATTGCAATTGAGATGTTGGCAGCTGTCTTTTTTGAGCATTGTTATTTGTGTACTTTATGTTGTTCACAATTCCGTCAAATTAACAAAACCACAAAAAGCACAATATATAATCGCTTAATTCCATGCAACATGTTCACGACGTTTGCCGATGTCGGATTTGTCTGTTAAATATTACACGTGTATGTTTACTTCAGACCAACACTGACACCCGCACTCGTTGCCGGTCATTTCACAATATTCTCTCTTTTTTCGTGCTGTTTTTTCTTCTTCTATATTCTCTCGTGTGAGACGGTTAATTGATAAAATACGTTTTTTGAGTGGCGATCCACTTACCGGATGGCGTCAATGGTGTAAACTTTTCGCTTTCATCGTGTGTCGGTGATACATTGTTGTTGCTGCTACTGCTCTGTGGCGACGATAGTGTCGACACAGCATTTCCATGTGAATCGATGGTCCGAACTGAATTGAGTGTTGTGGTGGCGGCAGTGGCACGTGGAGCTCCGCAAAATTTCAAATCCAATTTGCTACCCGTCAAACGCACCTCACGCTCGCGACGAGCCTCGCGGTCATTATCAAAGTGCAACTGCAAATAGAAACAGAAAATAATAAGAAAAAAATAAACAACGGCATGAGAATATGTGTTCAATAAATGAATCATAAAAATCGATTGAAATGCAATCTTTTTCCGACTTTAGAAAAGCAAATTAATGCAAAATAAACAAAGGAACAAACGAAACACGCATTTTATTTTGCCGAGAAGTTTAGCCACATACAAAACATTATCCCGAAGCTAAACGTATAGTACCATCACTTGCGCTTTCAACGCAAATCTATATTTGGAATTGTTATTACTCTAATCGTCTTCATATGTACATTGTACATCATCATTCAAACAATTCTCTTTTTTTTTCTCTTTATAAAACAAAATTCATATCAATTCAATTGTAATTTATTGCTATTGTGTAGTATTTACATCAATTTATGCTTTTAAGTGGATTTATTTTCAGTATCTATTAGTTTATCGCGTAACATAATAGTTATTCGGCTTTCACGAATATCACATACATATAAAACATACAATTTAGTGTGTAAATTGAATGGAAATTGTTAAATTGTTGCAAAGTGAAAAAAGAGCGCGGGCATAATAAGGGGAATACAATAGTTGTTTGCGTCTAATCACCCGCGCGATCAAAAGAAGAGAAAAACTCATGCGTGTAACGCATTATGATGGCCCTGGCACGAGACGCCGTTGGTTTTTTTTTGTTATGTGCATTTGTTGCTGTTTCGTCGGGATCTCGGTGCAAATTCACTCATCCTCCGTCACTTCGGTGGTAAGACATTGCGTGTCTAATGCACGTATCATTATTAAGTATGTCCTTGCTAAATATGTGTGGAAATATCAAGGTAACTTCTTTCTTTCTACTTTCTATTCAGACACACATATTGTGCGCATATGAGAAAAACCACCCCAGAAACAAGTGTTCCACCAATTGATCGCATTTGTCTTCACCAATATCCATAAATCATGATAGTTCAATATTTGAACATACGCATATATAAATAATATATACATTTTCTATCGTAGTTTTGTCGTGCAATTCAACATGAATAATTTGCAGTGCTCGACATTTGCGTATGTGAATAAGTTTTTGTATTTCGGTTATTTGACGGTTAATGATGATTTCGTGATACACACTTTTAGACGCATAGACATATGTTTTGGTGAACATAAAAATTTGAGTATGTGACGTAAATGCCGGTTTTGAACAGCACCGAATCAAGAGAGTACATTTGACGTATAATAATTATTTGTAAGTTTTTCGTAGCACGAAATGGTGTTGCCATACTATTTTTTCTGACGTTATTTCTATGCTGAAACTATTTCATGGAAAATATAAATAGTATATGATCCGGCATAGAGACTAGAAGTGGTAGGGTGTGTTTAAGTCTTATACCGGAACTCTCGCGTTGGTTGAAAATGCATAAAACTGACGTTGGCGTAAACCATAACTTCTAACATAGTTATTAAGTTATTATCGATTTGGCCATAATGTGTGTTTTCATATGTAATTTTATCGTACGGAAAACTCGGTCAAAATCGAAAACCGGTTGCTTTTAACGTCTATCTATTTACATTTATTAATCAAATAAACCAATATAGTAATTTCACTTTCATTTGAAATCATGTGTGTGTGCAGCGTTCTTTTGCTCTTGTCGGACTTGTGTTGGAATACAAATCCAAAAATTGCGTTAATTAATCGATCACCATTCGGAAAGCGAAATCATCTTGAATAATTGTCACCAATGATGAGAGTCCTAATTGGAAATCGTTAATGAATAGTGTCACACACAGCAGTTATTGTCTAAATGACTTTACAATGTCGTCGCGTCAACCCATAAATTGTTTTTTTTATTAAGTACATCTTGCTTTCCGATGCCATTTCAATTCTATTCTTGTTCGCTTGATGTGTTTGTGTGCGCGCATGGTCGTGATTTAAAATGAGCACGAAACAAACGACTCGAATAAATGAATATCACATGAAATTGCATGCCCCGTTTGCGAGAGAGCGCATGATATACATTTGTTTTTTTTTTATCAAGATAAATTACTACATATGTAATTGGTGAATGACAAACAATAAAACATTTACTTCCACGTTCCTTACATGCCCCCATGAACACGGTCGTTCGGGTTGTTTTTACTTGCTTGCTAGTTTATTTATTTGTTTTCTATGGATTATTCAAATCAATTTGAACAAATGCTTGCAACTGTTTTATTTCAATCGTACACACATTTTCCGCGATTCAATTTGTTTTTGTTTGTTTATTTTCTATCTTTCTCTATCACTCTGAATGCTTTGTTGCTTTTTCACGAATTCAACAAACATGAAAAACATGCTGAAGTTGTCAAAAAAGGCAATCGCATGACAAATGACTTCAAAACATATTTACGTTCTTTTCGTCTATAGTATGACATGCTTACGACTTTTTATGTCAGAAATTACACATATTTATTTTGTTGAGTACTCCTTTTTTTCTACAAAGCATTTACGCATTCAGTTTGTTGAAGAAGAGATTGAAACAAAAGTCATTCTATGTTTAGTGAAGAGTGTAGTACAAGGGCGTGTCAACTCGTTCGTTAACTTTGTCTCTTTCATCTTTTGAGATGACAAGTGAAGAATGCTCAAAAAACAGCTGATTGATGAAATGGCAAAAAAAAAGAAAACTACAAAGCATCTAAAATTATCCCCCCAAAAAAAATTTGTCAAGAGCTCGGATTCAAGACCAAATGCTTAATACGCTAATGACACGAACTTATAACAAATGAAAAATATCATATACAAAATAAATACTTACAACTTCACGATCATACATTTTTCCCAACATTTACATTGACTGTTTATGTAATTCGATAACAATTCGAAAATTAAGCGTGTTTTTCCTTATTTATTAAAAGAAAGACAATGTGTGTCGACGCTTCAAAGCCAAAAATATTCCGCAAAAACAATCCTTTTTTTATCCGGTTTCTATTTTTGATAGCGATTGTCTATTACGCTCGATCTATTTTGAATATATCTATTTATAAGTTGTTTTAATTTATTCGTGTGTTTTTCGCTTCAATTTTTTTCCTCACTTTTGATGCATCAAGTTATTTTGTAATCGCTTCTATATATTTAACATTTAAACATATCAATAATACAATATATCAAAAGCACTAATCTCAATGAATACCACTGATTACGTCAACGCGATTCTAATTCACTTGGTTTCTGTTTTCTTGTGTCTTGTATTCAATTGTTGCAATGGTAAACTATTGAGCATAAGATCAGACTATTCTTGTACACTTCTGGAACTTATCTGAAACAATGTAGGAATCATTTCGGTGTTTAAATGACAATCGAAAATATCAATATATATATATTGGTTTTCGACTGTGTTTGGTGGAATAAATTGCATTGAAAAGTGAGCGTGTGAAAATTCGTTTGAAGAATGTGAAATTTTACGAGCTTCAAATTTGAATTTTCGACTGGATTTTCTTGAGTGGTCATTTCCAATTTGCGAAAATTGAGGTTTAACGATTGTACCGCACTGTCGGAGATAATTGACAACTGAGTGCAAAAAATGAAATATTCAAACTAACTTTCAATTTTTTTTTGCTTCTGTTTTATTTTTCAATCAATTTGATGTCGAGACGAAGCGCCAGTCGCCATTCATTCATACATTCTCATAAACTTTTAACGAGATTTGTTTGGCAAACCAGACAAAGCATGGCCCGAGACAATGGGTCATTCTTCTTAATTAGGTAGTGTATTCCATTTGCAAATTGTATAAAATAGGGAGGTATGACACACACACACACACATAGTCTTGGTGAGGTGCGCGGTTGCACGATAAGATGTTAGCAAATTTATGCATTCACGCGCAATAACTATTCGTCTGGCAGCAGAAAAAAAAACGAGAAAAACAACGGCGCAGTTATAATAACAAACATTTTTCTCTTTTATTTTAAATGAAAATTGGAATATGATAAAATCACTTTAAGCCATGGAAACAACATGTAAATGATTATACAATATCATTTATCTGTGGGGCTCGGCCAATTTATCATACACACACACATTTCATTCGACATTCCATTTTATCTATTCTATTTATTCTTTGAATTCTGCGAATTGCTAAATGCACTGTAATTTTTTGTTTTCGTGTGTGAACCGAAAAACAACACAACAGCTCAAACGGCACTATAAAGAGGAAAATATTAATATCAACGCTCCGGAATATGAATAGCTAACATTTTACATAGCCTCCCATACATCAGACTGTCGACAACTTAAGTCGATAGCATTTACCGTACTCCACTATCCAAATGAGAAAGTAAGTATACGGAGAGAGAGAGAGAAAGAGAGAGAATTGTAAGCAAAAACATCAACAGCAGCTGAGCAACTAACTGTATAATGTTCAAATGCCATGCCAGAAGTGAAATGAGTTCTCTTTCTCTGAGCGGAAAAAAAATAACAACATTTTATGCGAATCGTAAAATTGATAATCATTTTGTCCGCGTTTTATATACATACAACAACAACAATTCTGTTTTTGCGGTTTGTTTTGATCGTTTTTTTTTTGTTTGACTCAAACTTTGATATAATTTTTGTTTTGCTTTTCTGGAAACGATAACAGTAATTGAGATCACTTGATGTTCAAAATCCAGTCTAGTTATTATTGGAACAGTTCAATTAACAAATTGAATGGCTTTCGATTGGATTTCTAAATTGCGTATAGACGTATTTATGTCTCATTAAGCGATCTAATTGCACGAAATCGCCTATTTAGCAACAACTCCATTCCGATAAAGACTATCATGGACGTTTTTCTCTGCGCTATTTTTTTTTGAGTGAGAAAACAAAATTGTTCCAAATATATCGAAATGAGGCATGAATCATCGTACACAGTGAATGTACTGAATGTTATCATTCTGAATTTTATAATCAAAATAACGTTACAAATGAAGTAATATAAAAATAAATGTGTCTTTGTTCCAAATGCGAATGCCGGAGCCGATAACCAAATTTGAGCATGTCGGGT